ATATATACTATATATTATGTATATCTATTTATCTATCCAAGACTACTACACATAAAGAAACACAATATATACTATATATTATGTATATCTATTTATCTATCCAAGACTACTACACATAAAGAAACACAAACGGCTTTGGCAATCAGTGCGCGCACTGATGGTCGCTGGTGGAGATGGAAGAGCCCTTGTAATTGTAGCATTGCCTTGCACGGATTGAGGTTCAACACCAGTCTGGGAAGAAGTGACGAAGAAGCTCAACAACTCCGCATAGATGCCCAGGCACCCGCAACCAGCCCATATCCCTGTACCATTTCACTGTCTCCCGCATCAGTGACTTCCGCTGGCGTTGGTTCGCCTCCTGAGAAAGTGGCACAAATGGATTGCATCTCTGCTTCTGTGTGACAACACGGGTGGATGTGGATTGGCTCTACTGCAAACAGTGCCGCCACTGGCGCCTTCCCACCCACTGGCGCCCCCAAGAAGCAGTGAACATGATTCTGCTGGGCGTCCACTTCTAGTTGCTTGAGCCACGGGGCATTTACACTTGAAGTATTCTTCCTGCCCTTCTCGTGCGTCAAGAAGTCCCAGGAGGAGAAAAACACCTCAGTCAGTGCATGCACGCCCTAGGTTGGCCTGCTGTGGACAAGAAAAATGCAGGTTTGTCCTGCAGCTCTTCCATCTCAGTCAAGCCACATGAGGAAAATCTGCGCAGAAATTGTAGTCAATCCTTAAAGTCATGAGCAATCTTGAGTTCTCAAATCATCCGCATCCCAAATCTGCAGTGCCGTGGCCCAGTGAGAGCGACAAACATAATGTTTGGTGTGGCTGAGGGTCATCAGGAGTTGGTGAGTGAATACTTGGTTTCCATGTCCATCATGCGATTGTTTGGTCAGTTGAGTTCTTGGTACACCCCACCCCAAAACAAGAAAACACGTATGTTGAGATCCCACCTAACCTAACTGAGTACTTCTCACGTCCCTTGCTCAATTAGGCCATACTTGGAGGTGAGTGATAGATGTGTTTTTGAATGAGAGTATGGAGTATGCAGAGGCCAAACCGTGCCAAACTAGCTCAGATTGGACGAGGCGAGGTCTAATAAGGAGATTAGATATGATAGATATTGTGTGGGTGAGCATTGAGATTGGCAGGTGAGAATGAAATGACATCAATTAAATCAAACAAAATGAGGGAAGCTGGGCTGAGTTGCATAGAGAGGGGAAGACACAGATGTGCATCGCAAATAGCAAGCAGCCCCCCCTTGCCGTTCTACACGCAGTATAGTGATTCCAGCTGTACTATATGTATCTATATGTGTGGCTTTCGTGATGACAGTGCTTGACGTGGCACCAAAGTCGTTGGCACCGAGGCTCGGCAGCAAACAATGAATCTTGCCAGTGGCCTTCCAAGCTGTGATGATATTTCGGGCACTCCGGACAGAGGTACCTGGGCGTTCGCTCCGGAACTGAAGCGAACAAAATATCGGTGAGATGGCTCATGAAGTCCTTGAGACATGTGTTGCATCATCGGTCTGATGGCTTTCCGCCTGCTTTGCTGATGGCTCACGATTTGACAATATGTCGTCCCAGGCGCCTCGTATTAAACAGCCTTCAAAGCGCCCCTGGTCATCCCATAGGACAGAACCAACACGCCAGAAATTTTCAGCGGCCAAGTACGTGTCGGTCAAGGACTGAAAGTTTGCCTGCGCTGCTGCAGCTTCATGCTTGGATTGATGAAACCCGCGACCAACAATGTCTATCAAGTTCAACGAGTACTAAACCCTGGAACTAACATGAAATAACATGACATGACAAGACCTATCATATAATTTCACAATATCATATACTGCTTCATGTTTATGACATGACATCTTTATGTATATACATATAACGACTGTGTGAGTCTCTCTCTCTCTCTCTCTGTGATTTCTTGATCAACTCATCTCTGTCTTCTTCCCTCACGACCATCAGTCTGATGTCCCCAACCACCCTCACAATGGTCCCGAATATTCCCGAATGGCGTGCCCAAGAGTTTTCTGGGCCTCGCCCATGACCCCGATCTTCTCCGCGAGATAGCGGAAGTGTTCTGTGGCAACCATGGCCTTTGTGCGCATGAAGGTGAAAAGATTGGGCCTGGCAAACTCGCAGCGTGGGGTCCCCAGTGCACAGAAAGCTGAGAGAAACCAACATCTAGGATGTACTGAGCTATTGGACTAGCTATTGGATCTCAGAGCATCTCCCTGCAAGAACAGTTGAATCATGTTGAACAATGTTGAACATTGGTCTGCCATGTCTGTGCAATCCAGAATCAAGCCTTGACTAGATTCTAGATGGGGTTGCTCACATATTATGAAGCCATATGAAGCCTGCTTCTAAGAAGTCCCCCTCCCTTGCACCCGCCTCAGAAACATCACCTCAGATTGTGCCCACAAATGCCGCACTAGCAAGTGGGTGCTTCTCTCCTAAACAACATCTCAACACATCTCTAACTGCACACGAGGCACTCCAGCATTCAGCAAGTAGGTGCGCCCTTCCCTGTCCAAGTTGCCTATGTCTTCCTGATCGCCTCAAAACACGTCGCATGACATCCGACGCCAACTTCACGGCTTGGTGAAGCCAACATCCCATGCACTGCGGCCGACGGCACGGTGCATTTCCGGGGCGGCCGCCAGCAGCGTCGGCAGGCGGAAGAGCTCGTCGCAGCTGCGGAGCATCAAAGTGTCGCCGTCCAGGATCACCACGCGCTCGAACTCCTTGGCCCCGGATGGGATGCCTTCGGGATCTGGAAGATTTGGTGATTCTAAGATTCTAAACCATACGTCTTTGCCATGGTAACGACGCCAATTGTGATCCACATGTTACCCTATAGGCTTCAGACTCAACTCCCTGGAAGTCCTTTCAGGCTCCCTCGATATGTCACCAACAGGTCAACAAGTGAATGGGCCCGGCATGGGTGAGCCGTCACAAAATAGTCGCAACCTTGGTTCGATGTTGATGTTCTTGCATCATAGTCATCATAGTTAATAGATGTTAAGATTAATAGATGTTATATAATAGATCAATAGGGCCTTGCGAGGGTACCTATGGCTATGGCATGCTATGGCATAGATGATGGATCACTTTGGTTTACCTCCAAGGGGATGTCCTTGACGTCCTTCCTTTCCTCCCTCCACCACCCACTGCATGGACGAAGCACCGTGAGTGTCCAGGCGGCTAGCTGTGCAAAGCTGCGCTTCAAGCCACGATCCGAGAACCAGTCGCCCACGTGCTTTGGCTTTCTGATGTAAGTCGACTGCCACATCTAGGTCTGTCAAAGCATGACAAAAGTATACAAAGATATGCAAAAGTTGCCTTTTCAGCATCTCAGACGCTAGCTATATAATCTACCGTTACATTCATTTATACAAACGTAACATTGAAAAAAAAAGCTTCGTTCCCCATTGATGCAGAACTGCTGTTCTACATCTGCCAATATTAAGACTTGTACACCCACGAACCAGACTCATTGTGGAGCACAACGTTTGGTTCAAGCAGCACAACAGCGCATGAAAGCGACAGGTGGTTTCCGTGCCAAGTGGCCGGAAGGGTTTCGTTGTTACCTCCGTGCTAGCGGCGAGTCGAGGTCCATGGTTACCTAGACTTACGATAACCTTCCAGGGACATTCCACAAAAGGAGAATAGGTACCGGCTCGGAGAAAAATCGAAATTGAAGAATTGACAAGGTGAGAGGCCCGGGAGGCAGTGTTGAACATGCTGTACTGAATGAAACGTACTGTTCCACAGGCTCAGTCAGGGCGCCAGGTCGTATCCCTGTGGAACCATGACGTGAAAGTGAAGACCCCTGCAAAAATTGTACATTATGTTGAACACAGGGGCTAGCTGAGTGCGCATGCACAGCGCATTTCATGGTAATCGTGGGTCGAAAACCCGCTGTATAACACCCAAGAGCGTGCCTGCTTTCTTCTCAAAAGCTTTTGTTGAAACCGGCATCACCCGGGACCCCTATTGATCCTATTTTCAATGGTCGGCCAAAAGAGGACCCACTTCTTGGAACAACGGTGAGTTCATTGATGAAGCAACATCAACTTGGTAGATGCAAATGTCCATACTCCATACTCCCACCCTACCTACACCAACAATAAACCTTCTTGCTCTAGCGAACTGATATGAACCGATCGTAGAATTGCAGCGCCCATGACAAATACAGGATGCAACGGAGCAACATTGGGATCATTGGGTCAGCGTTAAGATCAATAGATAAAAAATGTGGAAACCAAAAAGTTGGCTTCGGAAACTGAAACTGAACGTCACATGAATGTCTGGTCAATAGCTCCCCCACCCACCCCACCATCCCCCCACACACCAAACTCCGTTCACTTCTGTTGCTGGGGAAACTACCGTCATTTCTGAACCCGAGAAATAGTGTCCGAACTGGACCAGACTAGTTTCTGAACCCTAGACCCTCGCCAGAAAAAGCAGGAACTCTGAGACTTGTGGCCCTGGTTTCTGAACCCATGGCTTTAGTTTCTGAACCCGGGCCATTCTTAGCTTTACTTTGTTCGGAACATTTGGAAATTGGCGGGCCATCAAGTGGTCCAAAGCACTCCACGTGCGGCACATCGATGACGGTCCGTCAAATCGAGCCTTGAAAAGCCCAAAACAAGCCCCCCTCACCACGCTAAAGCCGATCAAGCACCCATCTTCATGGTCACCAGGGTCATCCGAGATCCCTTGACAAACCCTTGAGGAGAAGCCTTTGGGGGTATGGACAAATAGTGCTGGTATGGGTAGGAGCTAAAACAGTTGGAGGGGCACAACCAGCACAACACATCGTCAACCTAAAGTCGCGTCCATCATTGTTGCTTTCATAGGCCCTTTGGGGAGGATCCCTCCCTTACTTCAATCACAAAAAGTGCATGTTAGCCAAAGGTGGTGTGATGTCATGGTTCGATGGAGGTCCTTCCAAGGTGCGAACGCTTCGCACTTCTAGTCCTTCAGCTTGGAGCTCTGCAATGAGCACCTCCGGCACTTGCCCAACGGTGAGTACCAGGAAAGTTCGCCGAGCAGCCTCCAAGGGCGAAAGACATCTTGGAGCTCTGGGTTGAAACACGTTGAAATCGAGGGAAGGACGGAAATCCATCAAAAAGCCCACCCGTGCCGAGCTCGGCCTCCCACTTTCGCACAGAGTAGGCCATGGTTCGGATGACCTGACGAGGACCCCCACTTGCCGAGGTCGGAGACGGTCAATTCTTGCCGACCCGAAACAGCGAGGAGGGTGACATTGCCTGCCTCTGAGTTCAGCGCCGCTGCCTTCACGGCACTTGCAGAGGTGCCACCCCAGAGGAAAGCCACCCAAGCCTGCCACGGCTGAAATCTGGAACCTGGGATCCCAACGATGTTGCTCACCCCTCAACGCTATGAGGGGTTCGCCAACTGTTGAATCAGAGACTATACCCTCCAAGGCTCAGCAAGCCTCTTTGGAGGTCTCATTGGCCTTTGGCTGGAACTTCATTGCACCTCAAACTCACCAACTTCAATCATGTCACATACCCAGGACCCAATCCAACCTACAAGAACACAAAATGAGCCCAGGGTCGCGGATAAACTAGAAACCGTTCATACCGTGTCCACCCTCTTCCATGCTCAACCTGGGGGTCCCAAACGCTCTCAGGAACCTTCCCCTTTGCAAAGCAAAGATCTCTGGCCAAAGCTGTCCATCTCATGCAGCACATCGTGAAAATCTTTGATGTAGGCAGCTTCTGAGGACAGGATGCCCTGGCAAAAATAGTCGGTGTCTTCACCCTGTCCCATGCATTACACCACTTTCAGATATCATTCCTAGGCCGTAAGCCCTGCCAATTGGTTTGTAGGTCTCCATCAGGCAAGGACACGTGTCCGCACAAATGGTGCATCTTTTGTTCGGCACCTTTCCAGCAACTCTTGAGACTCCCTAGTAGCGTCCTTGCTCCTAGTAGCGATGCCAGGAGCCCTACTGTAGTAGCTTATTGTTCCTATAGTTGGATATAGTTGGCGGTTTCAAAAAGAACGATTTGCCTAGCTAACTCCGATGCTTCAAACCTACCTTCTTCCTTCGTTCTCCGTGTCTGGCAGACCGTCCACCTGCACGTCGCTGCATGCCCTCAGTACAACGAAGCCCGATCTCTGCCCCGCCTGCTCTGGATGCGCGGGGCAAATGCTGACAGGTACACCAGCTGCACCCGTATCCTGGATGCAGGCATGGCACAGGAATGAGTTATATAAAAAGGGCTCCACCAACACAAGGATCATTCAGGAAGTCATCTCTGGACCTCTTATTTCACAAGTCGGCCCAAAACGTGAATCCATCCAATCTGGACCAGTTCCACCACAAGTGCCCAAAACGGGTTATGACAGTTTCGATCTCAACCACTCCTGGGGAGGCTGCATCACCGCGCGGATCTGCAGTCGTCGGTTGATATGCTTCTGCAGTCGCGACAGGATTGGGAGCAAGCAGTCAGAGGCCACCAACCTTGTCAGCAGGCAGCGCGCAAACGCAAGCAGTCAAGGGCGGTTGTCCACAACGGCGTGTTTTGGGACCTTGTTGTTTGCCTACGTCCCTGGTGACTCTGTATATAAGTCTGTAGCCTTTTGTTTGGTACTTGTTAGTGGTTGTTGATGACAACCCTCCACACTGCGGGAGAAAAAGCCGCAGAATGGTCTTGCAGCTGCGCATGTTTTCCACTTGTTGCATGGGCTTGGCCGAGCAATTTGATGTTCTTCAACATCGCTGTTGCGATATTGGTAGGATATGGTAGGTTATAGTTACAGTAGTATACAGTAGTCATAGTCTGTCATAGTTGTAACCCTCCATTGACTCCCTCTACACATAATGGCCACAATGAACCATTGCCATAGAAAATCCATGAAAATCCTTTGTCATTCCGCGCCATGAAACGCAATGAGGCCGATGACTACATGGCCACATTGTCAGAGATCATTCATTGAGTCATGGTTCCTATTATATGGCAGTCCTATGTTGCCAATATGTTGCAGTCATGTTCCTTTTCACACTGGCTTCCCCCGTTTCATGTGTGGTTCGACCATGGGCTGTTGGCCTGCCCTCCTCAGCTCGTGGGGGTCAACTCACCCTATCGTGCCCAGCCACATGAGCGTAGAAATGCGCGCGGCTGGGGCTTTCCAGCCCTCGTTTGGCGGCTGAAACCACCACAGGAACTCCTTGAGGTGCTGATGGGCTGTCCTAGCTCGATGAGTCCCGAGCAAAATGTCACCATCTCGAACAAAACATATTATCAACAAAATGTCGCTACAGTCTTGTCTTCTGACTGCTTTTTCCAAACATAGCTGCTGCGCTGGACGTGCATCGGAAAGGGGAGCAGGGGAACCAAGTCAACCAATTTCTCACCTTTGGCCCATGCAGCGTGTTTCATGCAGCGTGTTTCGTTGCCATGACACTCCACGCAGCGTTCCATCTCTTCAAGGTCCGCCTGTTTCACTGCGACCTCTGCCGCCTCCAGGGCCTCAACGGCGTCACGGAAGCTTCTGGCGAGGCGGCTTCGAGCACAGGCTTGAAACGGTTTCCTTCACGGTTTCCTTTGTAAATCTGTTTGACATCTCTTAGCCAATGCAGTGCTACTTTATAAGCCAAAACTGTTGCCTTTCTATCTTGCCCCGCTCAGTTCCGAAGTGCCTGATGAGCCTGCGCGAGAGGGCAGCTGCCGGTCCAGTTCTCCATTCCATGCGAAGGCACGATTTTACACAGGGAGATCGCTGAAAGATAATCCACATCCAACCTGCGACATGTGTCTGCTTCAGGTCTCAGAGCTCAACGACAAGCCTGTCACAACACACCTATGCCTTCGATTGGCTCGATTGGTCTAGTCACTAGGAACTCGCACAGGTTCGCCCGCCGAGTTCATCGCAGCTCACATCACCAGGCCTGTTCAGAGAACCCGTTCGGTCTGCGGCGTCACGTGTGTTCTGGCGGAGGAATGGGAGCACAGACTTCAAACTTGCCGCGTCGGGAGATTTACAATGACTGTATACAGTCCAAGCGAGTTCATGTCTGATGGGAGGCACTTGGGATTTGTGTCCGCAGGACTCGCAAGTTCCATGCATGGTGACTCGGCTGATGGGCGTCCCATCGAACATCACTCTGAACATCACGACATGGCCGCTCCTTCGCAGCATGAAGCTGCTTGGCGAACTCCAGAGCTGCCAATGTGCCTTGACCCTTGAATCGCCAAAAATGGGAACGCAAAGCTCTCAAAAGCTTGAAGACCGGCCAGCCACTATACCTAGGCGACCCTCCCCAGCAGATCCAACATGCTTCTCTTGAGACTCGTGTTTTGCTTGGAGAGTTGGACTGCTGCGGAAAAATGCACAAAGCATCATAGTGCCCATTCAAACCAACCTTTCCAAGTGGCAACACGTCCAAAAGCCGAACGCCGGGCCTGGGCTAGCTTGTGGAGCTGGTCAGGTCTGAGGATGGCTAACGGTTGCACTAAGCTAGTTTCCAGGGCACAAATTCCAAATGAAGTAGCCCAAGGATGCGCCCAAAATCTCCCATCTGTGCACCTGACGTGACGCTGGATCTTCCAATCATGTGCACAGTGTAGTTCAAGGGTCCAGGAGAAACAAAAAAAAAAGCTTGAACACAGAAGACTGATTTATGGATGGGCATCGGCATGCAAGCAAACCCATAAACCACGTTGAGCCCCCTCGCCTGACCCTCAAAGGTGTGGTGTGGTGTTGCAAATGTCAGCCGGCCCATCTTGTTGTGGGGCACAGTGCACGCTAGGGGCAAACTGCATGCGCTTGTTATTTTTATTTGTTTCTCTCCATCTAGGCTGGCTATATTGCATGCCAGGTAAGCTTGGGCAAAGCCAGTTGGCAAAAGTGTCAAAACAGGCACGCACATATAAGTATGTGTATATATATATATAATTACCATAAATCATAGGAATGTGGCTTTGTTGATTAAGAAGATGTGATGAGTGACTTGTTAGGTGATGAAGGAGCTCATAATCATGTCTGATGCGGAAGGAAAGTGTTGCTTTGTGGTTTCTGTTGATGTTGCGCGTTGTGACCGTGACACGTGATCGCGTGAGCACCAAACCCAAAGGACAAAGGGTTGTAATGTGGTGAGTTGTGAGTTGTGATGTGGCGAAGTACATCCGCCAACAATCCGCGGCCACTCTCGAGCGCACTTTGTTTACATGATGTGTTCCTTCCCAAAAGCTCGGAACTTGATCATCAAATCAAATACCATTCTCAAAATCTCAAAGAAGTTACCAAAAACAAATCCTGAAGTGTGAAATCTGGAGTTCATCTCAGGACTCCGGCCTGTTCGTGCGAGTCAAGAAGACGTAGGTCAAAGGCATAACTCTCGGGATGGCTGAGAAGCATCAGCACATGCCCCACCATTGCACCTAGGATCTTGCAACGATGCGCGTTACCTGGTCAAACACCTGAGGCATAACTTTTAGCAGTTGTATCTAATGAGTCTTTTTCCTCCTGCGGAAGATTGGGAGGGAATGCATAAATATATATATCCATACCATATCCGTTTGTTGTGGTGGATCTGTTCGCAGTTTCTAGCACTTCAGAGTGATCTTCCATTTGCCTTACCTTCCGCTTCGCTCACAAAAGTGACAAAGCTCGAAAGCACATGAAAGCCGCCTAGTGGGCAAACCTCAGAGTTGGCGATACAATCGTCCAAATTGGTACTTCTCCTTGGCTTGGCGGCTTGGCTAACTGCGCATGGCTTGGAGCAAGAGATGCTATGGTTGCAACCATGGTTGTACGTGAAAAACACGTTTTCTTGAGCCCATCCGCAAGGTGAAACTTGTTGGTTTATGCGGTGCGAAAACTGCCCCTCTACTACAGCACTCCACAAGAGCACCAGCGGACAAATCAAGACCCTGTCAACCTATCCAGTGCTGCCAGAAAGGCACTTCCTTCCATGAGACACTTGGAACTTCGATCCATGTCTCAGGTACCGTGCCCTCGGGCAAGTTGCAGTCTGTGGCAACCCAGGTCCAAAAGTTCTTGCCATAGGGAATGTTATCATGGCACTGATGCATGGAGACCACCGGCAGGCCATATGTTTCCGGTGGCACTGTGAGAGCACATCGGTGATTACGCATCGGGATCAAAGGGTAGGTTTTGGTGGCGCACTTTATGGCATATTCCAGGCTCTTTTCTGCTTCAGGAGCCCAATCACGCTCGTAGTAATCCTCCACATCCTCCACACTTTCTGGAGTGCAGTTCCATTCGATTTGCTTGGCTACAGTGTCCTGTTCCAAGCCAAAGGGGATAGATCCAGACGCCAAAGTGTGCCAATCATGCCAACCCCCACCCACCAGGACACCTGCCTGCAAAAACTCGGCAAATTCAGGAGGGAAGCGAAAGCCATATCTCTCCTCAAGAGCCTCAAACTCATCTTGAGACAAGCCCGCTGTTAGGGTCACCCCCGCATTGTTGCCGGCAATGGCTTCCTGAATCTTCTGAATCTCCTGGGAGTTGTCCTGCAAGACCATCTGAATCTGAGGCCTTCCCTCAGTTCCTTCTTTTAATCGCTTCTTCACCGGATCCTCTCCTTCCAAGGGCTGATCTCCGTAGGCTAGGTGGAGCAGCCCGAAACAGCGGATCCTCAAGTCCTTGGCGACCAACCTTCGGAGCTCACTGCAGGTGATCTCGGATGCGACACGTTCGGGACCCCAGGCGATTTCACCGCCCAGCTTCACGACCTCCAGCGTCAAACGCGCACCTTCAGCCTCGGCGCTGGCTTCCATGCGTGTGCTTTCAGGCGTGCAGCACAACGCACCCATTACTATCAGCTCGAGCCGAGAGCACAAGACTGACATCCAAAAAAAACCGCGCAAGTGTGCCAACAAGTTGGAGCCAGGCAAGAATGCGAACCTGTCGGTGAATCTCTCGACGAGCGTCCTCTGACACATGTGATGCTCCAATGCGAGACCACCAAAGCGGCGCCATCCGTAACGGTAGCCAACGCCTGCACGGACAACTTCTGGGATAACACAACGTGTTTGAATGTGTGACGGTGGCATGCACTGCTGAGCCTTACCGGCCCCCACTACAGGGGCAAGCTATGTCCCCAATCTATGGCCCAGTTTCCTCTTATATAACGAAAGGAGGCTGGAGTGCAAATGAAACATATCCTATCTGTATATCAGCATATGCTTGCATAATTTTACGCGCACGCGCACACATAATAGACATAAACATACACTAAACTATAAACAGAATTGCATACAGCAGTGCCATACACACTATAGAATACTCTGTATATGTCAGCTTCCCATGGCAAATGCCTGGCCTATCCATTGTCGCCTCTCGAAGCCGGTCCCGCCTCTAAGCTTGGACTCCACAGTGTTGGCCAAAGTGCGCCAGTGCACTGGGGATCCAATCCTGTGCCCACTGGGTCTTGGCCAAACATGGGTGGAAAAGCAAATCAAACCCGTTGCAATAGCACAGGAGCTGGGCTTGGCGGCAGAGATCAACTCCAACCAAGCTTTCAACTCAGCCGAGCATCCCTGAATGCTTAGTCACACCGTGAAAGCGCACGGCACGAAGACATTGAGACCTGACGCTGCCGGTGTGAGCTTGATAGTGAGGGTGTGGGGCTTCCATGCTTTGATTTCATGACCAATTAGATAAGCATGCCGACACTGGCTGCAACAGAGACACACATGGTTGGTTTCCAAACGTTTTTTCCCAAACTGGTGCACTCGTCGCAATTCCATGGGGGCCCGCTTCTAAATCTCCTTTAAACTTCAACCACACTCAAACCACAGGGATGTTAAACATGAAGGCGTGTGAACTGCAAAAACTGTGAGAGGTGTCTAGCGCGGACTGCTGAGATGCTGGAGCAGTTGCTGCTGCTGCTGGTTGTTTCCACTTTTTGGTCTCAAAAATCTTCAGAACGGCATAATTAGGAAGGACGTAAGAGCTGACTCAAAAGATTTGGATGTTGGATGGGCAAATGGTCAAGAAATGGACCGTCGTCTAGCGCGGTGCTAGCGCGGATCTAGCCCCGGCCTAGCGCAAAAATCTCCGTCGATTTCTTTATCCTGTCAGATTCTTATTTTTCCTGCTTGCATGTCTTCTTCTTGTTGTGCATTCTTCTTCTTCTTCTTCTTCTTCTTCTTCTTCTTCTTCTTCTTCTTCTT